AACCCTAAACCCTAAACCCTAAACCCTAAACCCTAAACCCCAAGCCCTAACGAAACACAGGAGCCGTTTCCTGGGTCCGACATGAAAGCCCCAGGCCCACAAAAGACTGTAGGCCGGTTTGCCGGCATTTGCAGGGTTTGGGTGGTTTCAGCGGTTTGGGGTGGTTTAAGGGGTTTGGGGGCTTTGGGGGGTTGAGAGGTTTGGGGTGGCTTAAGGGGTTTGGGGTGGTTTAAGGGGTTTGCGGGTTTGGGTGGTTTTTGTGTGCTACTGCCGCTGGGACACACGGACACAGAGTGAGGTTTTGCCCGGGACAAGCACCCTTTACTGAGGGCACACCCAACTGCTTGGCCACTTTGCACAGAGTCAAGATTTGCACATGAAATCATTCTGAGTCATAATCCGTTTTCCCGGAACCAAACGATGGGTACCCCTATTCGGGGAATTGCCCATATCAGAACCAGAATGTGCGACACGGCCGCCGACTAGCCTTTCGGCTAGAGCACGTGCCAGACAGACCCTCTTTGTAAGGTGGCTCTTCTTTGTGAGGTGGCTTGGATTCCTGCAGTTTCCGTCGATTTCCACGAATTCCATTAAAACCTGGCCTTATACATGAAACCAATGCATACAGAGCGTGTATACGCAGATTTGAAAGTAATGACTATGCGCATTCAATTGCCCCTAGACAAGACAGAACCCTATCAAAATCGCTCATGGGTTCTATATAGCCTTATACAGGGATTGGGCCCCAGACAAAATGAGCCCCCCAAAACCCCAAACCCCAACCCTAAACCAGAACCCTGAACGCCAAACCCTTTTTAACCCCAAACCCTCAACCCCAGAACCCTAAACCCCAAATCCCAAAACCATAAACCCCAAAGCCTAAAACCCAAGCCCTTATAGCCCTAAACCCTAAACCCCAAACCCTAAACCCCAAACCCTAAACCCTAAACCCTAAACCCTAAACCCTAAACCCTAAACCCTAAACCCTAAACCCTAAACCTAAACCTTCAAACCCTGAACTGAGCCTGCGGCATCCTTTTCCGCAGCCTTCAGCCGCTCTCTCTCCAGCTGCACCTCGTCCGAGGAAACCGCGAGACGGGGTTTAGGGTTTAGGGTTTAGGGTTTAGGGTTTAGGGTTTAGGGTTTAGGGTTTAGGGTTTGGGGTTTGGGGTTTGGGGTTTAGGGTTTAAGGATTAGAGTTTAGGGGTGTGGGGTTTAGGGTCCAAGAGCAGGGGCTTAGGATCTTTAGGATGAGGCTTCAGGGTTCGGAGCTTTAGCGTTGTGGGGTTCCTGGAAGTTTTCGGGCTTAGGGTGAGGAGGTGTCGCTTGTGGGTGTAGATGGGTCGGTTCGGGGAACTGGGGCTAAGCACATTGGTCAGCTGAACGCGAAGTGCCCACCCCAAGAGCCACCCACTCGCGACCCACTCCCGAGACCTTTCAGTTCCAAGCGCAGGGTTTAGGGTTTAGGGTTTAGGGTTTAGGGTTGAGGGTTTAGGGTTTAGGGTTTAGGGTGTAGGGTGTAGGGTGTAGGGTTGAGTTTAAAACGTCAGGGAAGGTGCCGTTGCAAAAACTAACAACTCGCCATAGCGATTCCGACCCGGCTCCTGGACCACGAGGCACTTCGGAAGCTGCTTTCGTCGTGTTTTGGACAAGCTTTACCACGCCGAGATGTGGGCTTCTGCATTCTTGCCGTGATGCTTCTTGCCCAAGGAGCCCACAGTTACATCCTAAACCCTAAGCCCTAAGCCCTAAGCCCTAAACCCTAAACCCTAAGCCCTAAACCCTAAACCCTAAACTTGCCCTAAACCCTAAACCCTAAACGCAGCACTCTCATAGCAGCATGGCCCTGGCTACTTTCGCAACAATGGTGAAAGCAAGGGGGAGATCCCGAATTTTGCCTTGGGTATCAGGGACATGTGCAGGGTTTGCTTCACCACCATGGAACCCTAAACCCGAAACCCTAAACCCTAAACCCTAAACCCCACACCCTAAACCCTAAACCCTAGAGAGGACAACTTGCAGAAGGAGGATGCCTTGACAGGCCCTTGTCTTCTTCGAGTCCCGGGGTTTAGGGTTTCGGGTTTAGGGTTTAGGGAAAACTTTCCACCCCCCCCCCCCCCCCCCCCGCCAAGCCCCAAGAAAACCCCAGCAAACGATGTAAAATTGCCCAAAGTGCCAAAGAGCTCAAGACCCCTCAAATACAGAATATCCCTTACTTGAAGGTTCATAGTTCATGGGTACTTCTAAGTGTTAACCATCGTAACCCCACTCATAACCCACTTATATGACTACCGCGCGCATTCATGATATGCACTGGCCTGCTACTTGGTCACCCTGAACCCTCCTTCAACTACACCCCCTAAGTCTTGAACCCCTGGAACTCTTCATCTCCGCCTTCAGGTTCTCCTCTTCGTTCATGAAGTCCGTGCTGCACGTCGAGGCTTCCGAATCCACGCAGCTCTGCATGGCCCCGGCTGCGCCGTTCGGCCAAAAAAAAAAACAGAGGAGGCTTTTAAAGGAACGTTCCGAGAAGTGTAACAAGAAAGCATGTATAGCTGCGGATGTCTTTGCGTGGGTGGTGTAGTTAGAACCCATCTGAGCATCTTGCACCTAAACCCTGAACCCTGAACCCTAAACCTAAGGCCTAAACCCTAAACATTTGCAACCTTCACGTTGTCAGCTCCACCCGAGGCTTGTCTATCTACACTTGGGCCACAACGGAATGGAAGGGCGCCTCGGCAACGCTTAACAAAGCTCACCTTCAGTCCCCGTGCTTGTATAGGGGTTGTACCTTGTACCCATAAGGTTGCACCCTTAGGGTTTAGGGTTTAGGGTTTAGGGTTTGGGGTTTAGGGTTTAGGGTTTAGGGTTTAGGGTTGAGGGTAACAAGATCCTTATGACAAGGGGAACCTTGAGGGGCACAACCTGGGTACCCACTGTGGCTAGGCATGCTAGCCAAGGTTATGGGGGCCTGAACAAGAGCACCTCTTCCTTACCCTAAACCCTAAACCCGTTTTTAACCAGGACTGCTGAGGCTCCTGCCCTAAACCCTAAACCCTAAACCCTAGACCCTAAACCCTAAACCCTAAACCCTAAACCCTAAACCCTAAACCCTAAACCCGAAACCCGAAACCCGAACCCGGAACCCTGAACCCTGAACCCTAGACCCTAAACCCTAAACCCTAAACCCTAAACCCTAAAACCTCACCCCTAATCCCTAAACCCTAAACACTAAACCCTAAACCCTAAACCCTGAACCCTAACCCAAAACCCTAACCTTAAACCCGAAACCCTAAACCCGAAACCCGAAACCCTAAACCCGAACCCTGAACCCTAAACCCTAAACCTCAACCCTCACCCCTAAACCCTAAACCCTAAACCCGAAACCCTAAACCCTAAACCCTAAACCCTTCACTGGGTAGGGTTTAGGGGCCTACTCTGGGTCCTAGTAGTAGGGATTTAGGGTTATAAGAGGTTATATAGGATACCTGATTCCCTAAATCCCCGGTAAGAACCACTAAGCCGAGATTGACTCGATTGTTGGAGTGGGATTGATAGCAAGAGCCGCCCCATCTCTGGGAACAAGATCAGGACTCGATTTTTTTTTGGGGGGGGGGGGGTTGGGGGCTCAGCACCATGGATCAGAGTTCGTGACCGGGATTTAGAACAAGTAACGAGTAGATGTGGGATCGGCCTTGGTGCAACACACGCGAATGGAGGAATTGGAATATCTTGCCGTGGGTTCGGTCTTAGAGCAACATCAGCCCCAAAGCTTCCCGTTCTTTTTCTTCCGGCTTTCTTTTGCGGTAAAAGGCCTTCTGCATGCGTCGCGGGACGTGCGTATAAGTTGCCGTGCTCCCCCAATCAGGGACCCGCCTTTGGGCCCAGTGTGCCAGGGCGGGCTTCTCATTGCTTTCCCCAATTAGTACTCTCCCTTAGGGTTTAGGGTTTAGGGTTTAGGGTTTAGGGTTTAGGGTTTAGGGTTTAGGGTTTAGGGTTTAGGGTTTAGGTTTTAACTCAAAACACTGGCACTCCAAACCCTAAACCCCTCAAGGCTTCTTCAAAGGGCTACGAAGTATGGCGTTTATTGCTAGTGTCCCCAAAAGGACACCAAGGATATATTCAACGCATATGTATAAGAACCCTGTATACACTCACCAATAGAAGTAATATTCTAATATAAACCTGCTTTGTATATTTTCCCTCCCGCCCTGCCGAAGCTGCGAGGCAATGTTAGCCAACCCTCTCTCTGCTTCATATCTTGTTTAATCATGGCTTTTCTTTTAGGTGTTGACTTGTAGTGTACTGTTTACCTGATAAGGCATCGCGAAAACCCTTCTATGTGCTGCCCTTGAGACCCTGAGAAGGCGCGCGCTGGCACAAAGAGCCACACAAGCTAAACGGCTGCGCCTCCAAGTGAGGCGCATCAGCAACTAAGCTGTCGGTGAAACGGGCATCTCTGCATAGGAACTCTGAAAGACTGAAAGACTCCTTCGCAACTCCTCAGACTGCTTATAGGCTTCACAGGAGTAGGAAATTTGGGGAGTTGGGATGAAGTGCCCCGACAGCCAGTCCTGCCAGCAAGTAAATGCCCTCGTCATACTGCCTGCATCCTCTGCCAACCCGAGCCTCTACAGGGTTTAGGGTTTAGGGTTTGGACCTGCGTGGTTGAAAACAACCTAGCGAACAAAATCGAACAGTGCAAGTGGGCAGCAGGGCTCTCTCAAGTGCCCCGGCAGGTATCCGAAACCCCAAACCCCTGTTTGCATCCTGGAACCCCGTGGACTGAGGTCGGCGCCCGAAACCTTTAAACCCCAAAACCACAAAAACCCTAAACCCTAAAAACCCTAATCCCCGAAACTCCAAAAACCCTCAACCCCTAAAGCCCTAAACCCCTACACCCCTAAACCCCTAAACCCCTACACCCCTAAACCCCCAAAATACCCCTAAACCTCTAAACCTTAACCCTCCCCCCTTTGATGACTCGCCTCCAAGTAGCCTCATACATCGGGCGCTGAAGCAAGCGCCGCCCGCTCGCTGCGGAAGCCTAGGGGACTCTTGCAGGGCGTTTTAGGGTTCTGCGGTTTGTTTCTAGGGTTTAGGGGGGGGGTTTATAGAGTTTAGGGTTTAGGGTTTGGGGTTTAGGGTTTAGGGTTTAGGGTTTAGGGTTCAGCTTCCTGCTCGCTCCAGCATAGCTGGTCGAAGTCACACAGCAGGGTTTACAACGACCCAGGAGCTACGGCTGCGATAAGCCCCACCCGACCAAGCCAGTTTGCCTTTATCTCACTGGAGGGTTTAAGGCTTAGGGATCAGGGGTCCAGGTGCCTGTATTCATGTACATTTCGGCCTGATATTGGTTCCTGCAAAAACTATGTAGGGTTCAGGTCAAGGCCGATAAGTATGCCCCTGAGGTTGGCACCCAATCCCTTCCGGCTACCCTCCCCTCCCCACATACACAAAGCCGTGATGCTGAGGCTTGCAGTGGAGCTTGGGCGGTACCCATACTCCATGAGACCTAGGAGTAGAGGAGGCAGGTGGACGGCACAAGCAACTCATCCCAGGGATCCAAGGGACAGGATAGCGCAGGGCGTTTTTCATTCTTACGCCACTATCACACGTACGCATAAAAAGATTCTAGGGTTTGGGGCGGAAGGTGAGATCACAGTTGAAGGACCAACGTCTGAAGGCGAAGAGGCTCAGACACAGAGAAGCCGACACCGTTGGACCCTTCCAAAGATTCTGAGTCATCTGAGTCAACCTCTAACCCGGGATAAGACGCAAAGGAAGTCTGGCTTTAATCACGCATGAAAGATATGTTGGCCGTTGGTCTTGGACATTTGGAGGTTTTGGTAGGGCTTTGGAACTGAGCCCAAACCCAAGACCCTAAACCTTGGAGGGCTTCAAAACCTTTCCAGGAAGCGCAGGATCATCCGCTCGCGGGTGCCACTCTGGGGAAGGTTTCGATCCCGCAGCTCCTGTTATGGTTGAAGGTTTGGGGTTTGGAGTTTAGGGTTTAGGGTTTAGGGCTTAGGGCTTAGGGCTCAGGGCTAGGGTTTAGGGTTTCGGGTTCACCCAGGAAGAGTCTGGTTCACTTCCTAGCCCGAAAGCACCCACGCGCGAGCCCCACAGACCCACATCATGTCAGCACGTCGTGTCCGATGAGGTTCCCCAACAGCCTGCTAACCTAAACTGGACCCGACCTCTGGCCCCTTATGAGCCTGCCGCAGCTGATCCTCCGACTGGCGCTCTAGAAAGCCTTGCAAGGGTTCTTTGGGGGTGCAGGGGTTACATGGTTTAGAGTCTGCCTTGAGACTTAAGAACCCAAAAATGTTGCCTTTATTCGCAGGTTGCTCAAGAATCTGATAAGTGATAAGGGGATATTGGATTTTGGGCGTCCTCAAGGGCAGGCTTTTCGTGCAATGGCGATGAACGGTTGCCCTAAACCCTAAACCCCAAACCCTAAACCCTAAACCCTAAACCCTAAACCCCAAGCTCCGGGATGGCGCAAGGAATCCAAGCGGCTGATGTTGTCGAAGTCTGCAGTACGGTCATAGAGAGCCTCAGAGTAGTAGTGACCTGAGCTTGAAAGGTTCATGGGTACTTTACAAGTAGGGTTTAGGGTTTAGGGTTTAGGGTTTGGGGTTTAGGGTTTAGGGGTTGCGGGGGGAATGGGGGGTTTCAGGGGTTTAGGGTTTTGGGGTTTCAGGGCGTTTGGGGTTTTAGGGTTTCAGGGTTTTAGGGTTTAGGATTTAGGGTTGTAGGGTTTTAGGGTCCAGAGTTGGAGTGGCCCTCAACTACTTCACTTTCGGTAGATGATGGCTTTTTTGGGTACCTCGAATGACGACACGGACCTGAATGGACCATCAAAAAGCTCTTGCCGTCCCCTTACCTGACTGGGATTGGGATGCTAACCCCATACCCTGAAACCTAAGCACTGAACTCCACAACCACAAAACCCTGACTACTCTCTCTCTCTCTCTCGCTCTTTGCCTCTCTCTTTCTCACCGAGCCCTGATCCACCTGGGCTTCGCGCGGTATCTGAGCACATACTGCGCCATGATGTTGACGCCTACCTTAGAGAGGATGCTATTCGTGCGAGGGGCTGCAGCGCTTGTGAAGTTCTTTGACATTGTCAGTGTCAGTTTGGGTGGCGGAGAGGCGCTAGTGAAATTCAAGACAGAAAGCTCAGTCTCCTGCCGTTGAAGTAGGGGAGGGGAGTGGGGGGAGGAAGGGGGGAGACGGGGAGGAAGGACGAAGGAGGAAGGGAGGGGGGGGGGGTCCGTTTATGTGAGGTCACCGTGGAAGTGGGATCAGCCGCGCAAGAGCTGATGCTGAGGCTCGGCATCTGTCCAACTCTCTAAGAGTAGCTACAAGGGCCCCCTAACTGTGCAGACCTTTTGTTTCCCCTACACAACCCCCAAAGGCCCTTCCCTGGCTACCCTCAGACGCGAGTGGTGTGCACCTTACACCCTACGCAGCTGCCTTGTGGACCAAATGAGCCCTAAACTGGGATCCTGTACCTTACGCTGTCAATGCGTAGAAGGTATATGGACCAAAAACATCCTTTTCAGGATCCTTTAGCCCACCTCCCCCCCGACCCCCCAAAGCTGATCTGCCCGGCGGCCGTCGCAAGCGCCAGCAACGTCAGGCTCGTAGTGAGCTGCAAGAGGAGCTGGGTGAAGTCCTTTTGTGTCTTGCTTTGGGTTTAGGGTTCAGGGTTTAAAGTTTAGGGCTTGGGGTTTGGCATTTGGGGTTTAGGGTTTAGGGTTTAGGGGAGCCCCTCAATCCTACCGAAAAAGCACACGAAAGCCTAAACCTCAAACCCTTAACCCCGGAAACCCTACTGACCCTATCACTCAATGGTCTCAAGGTGCAGCACCACCGGTGCACGACTGCCTGAAGCAAGAGACGCCAATATCTGCCAACACCCCGTAAGTAAGGAATAATCCGCTAGATCATACCACCGGCCCCGATGCAAACTTAAGGAAAACATTACGAATTGAGGGATATTGGAGTCTCTCGGAATGGCCGCATGCTCTAACGCCTAACCTTGGAGTGCTAGGGTTTGGGAGGTACCCAAGGATCCCAACCCTAAACCCTAAACCCTGAACCCTGAACCCTAAACCAAAAAGCCTAAACCCTAAACCCTAGACCCTAAACCCTAAACCCTAAACCCTAAACCCTAAACCCTAAACCCTAAACCCTAAACCTTAAACCCCAACCCTAAACCCTAAATTACCAATCCCTAACACTAACCCTAAAACCTAAACCCTGAACCCTAAACTCCACATTGCCAAATCCCTAAACCCCTAAACCCCCAAACCTCAAACCCCCAACCCCTAAACCCGCAAATCCCTAGACCCCTAAACCCCCAAACCCCTCAACCCCCAAACCCCTAGACCCCTAAACCCCTAACCCCTACACTTCTCAACCCTTGTCCTAAACCCTAAACCCTAAACCCTAAACCCTAGACCCTGAACCCTAAACCCTAAACCCTAAACCCACCCTAAAGCCCTAAACCCCCAAACAGCGCAGCTAGAGCTCGAAGATGGCGAGCTGACCTCCCGCCCGCACTTCGAACAACACCCCTTGGCCGGGTCGGAGCATAAGGGCGGGTTAGGGTTTAGGGTTTAGGGTTTAGGGTTTAGGGTTTAGGGTTTAGGGTCTAGGGTCTAGGGTCTAGGGTCTAGGGTCTAGGGTTTAGGGTTTAGGGTTTAGGGTTTAGGGTTTAGGGTTTAGGGTTTAGGGTTTAGGGTTTAGGGTTTAGGGTTTAGGGTTTAGGGTTTAGGGTTTAGGGTTTCCCTATGCGACTCTCTAGGGTTTCGGGTTTAGGGTTTAGCGACTCTCCGGGGCTTAGGGTTTGGGGTTTCGGGCGGTTTCCACTCCTCCAAAGGGGGTACTCTCTAGGACTGGGGTCCCAACTTAAGGTAACAAAATGGCCACACTGAATGAGCTTCATGTTGGCGAACCCCAAATGCTGCCTGGCAGCCATGCAGACTCTTCTTCAGCATGTGCACCCCATCCAGAGAGAGCGGGGTTACCTGAAGCTACCCAGGCTCCGCTCCAAATCAGCCGGCGCCACTCCAAACCCTAAACCCGAAACCCTAAAGCCCCTTAAAGCCCCTAAAGCCCCTAAAGCCCCTAAAGCCCCTAAAGCCCCTAACCCTAAGCCCTTAGCCCTAAGCCCTAAACCCTAAACCCCATGATGGCTACTTCCAGGAAGCATGCTGAAGCCGACAAGTCCTAAGCCACCGGGCCCTGGTACCTTTCAAGCAGGAGGGCCTGCTAAACCCCAAGCCCTAAACCCTAAACCCTAAACCATAAACCCTAAACCTGAGGTCCCCATCACGAGCTACGCAGGCGTACATGGTCAGCTCTCAAACTTAGCTCCCTTTTTGGGTACCCTCATAAAGAAGGGGAGGGTTTAGGGTTTAGGGTTTAGGGTTTAGGGTTTAGGGTTTTAGGGTTTTAGGGTTTAGGGTTTAGGGTTTAGGGTTTAGGGTTTGGGGTTTAGGGTTTAGGGTTTAGGGTGAGGCCTTATAACAAGGACCCCTAAAAGTGGCCATACTTTCAAAGAAATGACCATATAGACCTATATCCCTCTGCCCCTTTTTCTGGCTGCCCACGAAAAAAGCAGCCTTTGAAAAAGTCGCCTCTGTCGTTTTGAAGGTGCTGCGCGGGATCACCGAAGGCTTGTAGAGGTAGCCTGACCCCAGGGATTGAGGTTTGGGGATCTAGGGTTTGGGGGTTTTGGGGTTTTAGGGTTCTAGGGTCTTAGACAGAGAGAGAGAGAGAGATAGAGAGAGAGAGAGAGCGATGGTTCGAGGGTTTCAGGGTTTTGGGGTGTTGGGGTTTTAGGGTTTCTTGGTTTTAGGGTTATAGGGTCTTCGGGTTTTAGGGGGAATTAGGGTTGTGGGGTTTAGGGTCTGTGTTTTTTGGGGCGGAGGGGGGGAGGGGTGGTTGGGGTTTGGGGTGTTCTGGGGGGTTGTGAGATCAGGGGTACCTGAGTGGAGTCAAACTTATAAGGGGGTTCCTATCATGTGGGATCCATATCAAGGGCCCTTATTGTCGGAAACCACCACAATCTTGCCGAGTATGGGGGGTGTAGGGGCTTGGCGGCCTAGGGGTTTAGGGCTTAGGGGCTTAGGGGCTTAGGAGCTTAAGAGCTTAAGAGCTTAGGAGCATAGGGTTTTGGGGCTCAGGAGCTTAGCTTAGAATTCGGCAAGATGGATTCAGGCTCCTGCCAAGCTGAGCAATCGGCTACTTTTGTAAAGAGCGATCGGTGTTGAATCTATCGGAATCAGGGGTCACCTTACTGATGCGTTTTTGGGTTTAGGGTTTAGGGTTTAGGGCTTAGGGTTTAGGGTTTAGGGTTTAGGGTTTAGGGTTTAGGGTTTAGGGTTTAGGGTTTAGGGTTTAGGGTTTAGGGTTTAGGGTTTAGGGTTTAGGGTTTAGGGTTTAGGGTTTAGGGATAGGAGCCCCTTTAGAGTTGTAAAGAATGACCAAGCTGCTGATGTTGGCTTGTAGGCCATGCCATGGAATCGAGTTGCTGTAGTCGATGTTCAGGTTGATCTAGGCTCATTCGGCTCTGTGATTGGAACCCTCACGGGGGGGAGGGAGGGGGGGGGAAAGACTGCCGGGAGTTCAGCAGCCTCAACCCTCGAAGCAAACCTCGTCCTAGAGCCCCGGACATGAGAAAAAGGAGGGTTCAGGGTTTAGGGTTTAGGGTTTAGGGTTTAGGGTTTAGGGTTTAGGGTTTAGGGGCCTCTAAAGATTCTTGGCAAGACTCCGTGATCCCCTCGTAGCGCGCGGAGTGGCCGCTTCCTGCGCAGCGTTAACCATTCACCATATAAATGCTTATGAACCATTGGGCAAGGTCATAAAATCAATTGGCAAGGTCATACACTGGGCAAGGGTTTAGGGTTTAGGGTTTATATAGGGTTTAGGGTTTAGGGTTTAGGGTTTTGGGTTTGGGGTTTGGGGTTTAGGGTTTGGGTGACAAAAAGGCTGTGCAAGGTCACACAACATTGGGCAAGGTCATCGCGGAAGGTCCATCGGCTGGCCCATGACCTTGCCCAATCATTTAGAATCTTGCCCAATCTTATAAGACCTTACTTGGGCAAGACACAAAAACCTAACCTTAAACCCTACACTGCTCTTGAACCCCCCTCCCTTTCGAACCCGATAATCAAGACTGCGATGGACAGCTCGTGAAAAGAAAGGGGTGGCTCACAGCCTGGATAGCTCTCGCTTTCCAAGGAGACGCCGGCAGCCTCTCCACTTAGGGTTCAGGGTTCAGGGTTCAGGGTTGAGAGTTCAGGGTTGAAGGTTCAGGGCTCAGGGTTTAGGGTTTAGGGTTTGCGAGATTGTGAGAAAAATCAGCCCTCAGGGCATGCTTTGGGCATGCTTAGCCACGAACCTCTGTGGTTGCCTATTTGTTGACTTGGATTCTAGTTGTCTGGCTTTCATGCGCTAGCTACTAAAACTGTTCTGGTCTAACAGTGCACACGCCCAAATTCCACAAATCCTGAGTCAAAGCCTCTACCCTAAACCCTAAACCCTAAACCCTTCTAACCCCTGACCCAAAGCATCGCCATCGCCTGTAGCAGAGTGCCAATGGCAAAGAAGTCCAAGCCGCCCGCGGAGTTGGGCTTCAAATAGCAGGGCGCCTTGTTCCGGGGTTGTTGGGGGCTTGAACAGCCACTATACACGTGCTTGAAATGATAGCACCCACTGGACAAAACCCTAAACCCCAAACCCTAAACCCTATGGAAACCCCAAATCCTAAACCCTATACCCCTGAACTCAGGACCATCCTAAGCTTCGGGCCTTCGAGGGGACCAAGGTCGCAGCGGAAGGTCCAAATTCCTCGCCCTCTTCCTTTTCTGTGTAAGCCAGACTCAGGGCATCAGCTATTCCCTGAACCCTAAACCCCTTTTGCAGCAAGCTTGCAGATGCAAGCCCTAAACCCTCAACCCTAAACCCCAAGACCTACGAGCGTGGCGCGGAACTGAAAGTTTCTGGCGTCCTAAGTCCGGCAGCCATGACCCCCAAGCCCTGAACCTCCCCAAAGACTGTCCCCCAAACCCTGCGACTCAGATCCCCAAGCCTGCATGCTGCCCTAATCCTTAAACCCTCTCTCTCGCTCCCTCTCCCTCTCCCTCTCTCTCGCTCTCCCTCCCTCCCTCCCTCCCTCCCTCCCTCCCTCCCTCCCTCCCTCACTTTCTCTCTCTCTCTCTCTCTCTCTCTCTCTCTCTCTCTCTCTCAGGAAAGCTGTCAGACGTGATTCCGGGGGGCTTAAATCCTGAACCCGAAAACCGCCGCAAACCCCCTAATAGAACAAGGGCAGTTGGCTACACCCCCTCTCTCTCCTTTCCCCCCGCCTCCATCCCTGAACCCTAAACCCTAAACCCTAAACCCTAAACCCTAAACCCTAAACCCTGAACCCTAAACCCTAAACCCTAAACCCTAAACCCTACATGACTTTCGATTGAAGGCTTCCAGCGCCTTGTCTGTCGCCCGGCCATTGCGAGGGGCGTCAACAGCATCCGAGGAGCTGCTGCAAAGCCCAGCCTCAAGGGTGTCACAGTTTCTTTAAGGTTTAGGGTTTAGGGTTGAGGTTTAGGGTTTCGGGTTTAGGGTTTAGGGTTCAGGGTTCAGGGTTTAGGTTTCGGTTTGGGGTTTAGGGTTCAGGGGTTCAGGGGTTTAGGGTTGAGGGTTGAGGGTTTAGGGCATCCAGCCGATGTTTGCCAAACACCATGCACTTCGGGGGCTGCGCTGCTCGCCCCATGGCAAAGAATCCCTCGCCCTAAACCCTAAACCCTCAACCCTAAGCCCTAGACCGGAAAAAAAAGTAAAAACACATTCATACATAAAAAAAAACCTACAACACAGTAGGTGATATAAAACCCCTAAAGCTCCCAAAATGAGAAGTGCACGGAGCCCCTGGTAAACCTTAATTAGCGAGGTGGGGCCTTGATCGCTGACGCCTCGCTGCCGTCGTTGCCATTGGGGCCGACGAACAGGAGCCCCTGGACACTGGATACTGAGAAGGTTTAGGGTTTAGGGTTTAGGGTTTAGGGTTTAGGGTTTAGGGTTTAGGGTTTAGGGTTTAGGGTTTGGGGTTTTGGGGTTTAGGGTTTAGGGTTCAAGGACGCATCTGAGTTTTTTTAGGGGCAACGGCGAAGGGTTCCCGAAACCCTTTGACTCTACATCAGTATACATCTCCACAGCGAGTTTGGGGAGCTTACCGGCACACAGGATCACACATCGCCAAATCGACTCAGCGGTTCTGCCACAAGCCTGTCCCCCAATACTCGCCTCGATGCTGGCTATGCGCAGAAAAACTGGCAAGAGTTCTCAAGAGGTCTTTTTTCGCACCCGTCTCGCAAGCGTTTACGGGGAAAGGTCAGGGACATATTAGAGCCCAAGTTCAGAGGATGAGATTTGCTTTGGGCGGGCCTCAGAGCACTTCTCAAGAGCACACACAACGAAACCCCATCAAATCCAACAACAAAACTCAAGAGGGGGTTTGGAGATTGGGGTTTCGGGTTTCGGGACTACATCGAGGTTGAGTTCTTATCTCGAGGTACTCTAGAGCAAGCCCTGGCACTTCAGCTTCCAAAAACAGGTGACATGGCGCCCGGGCCCTGCTTCGGTCCCCTCTTTCCGGAAGGAAGCCAACTCCGGGCCATGTACCCATAGAGTAGAGACTTAAGCCGCCAAAAGGGACTTTCGAGCAACCACCTTTCAAGGCCTAGGGCTTAGGGTTTAGGCCTAGGGGCTGAATGCCCGAGCCCCCCCCCCAAAAAGGGTATGTCTTTGCCCAAAAAGGCTAAAGGTTAACTACCCAGCCCCTAAGTAGGCATTTCCCAAAATAGGGGTACCCCCTTTTGTACCCAAAAACTCAACCCCCTTAAAGAGACCCCCAAAAAGGGTACCCCTATTTTCGGAAAACCCCCAAGCACGGGTGGTTCGACTTCGGGGTTCGAGGGCTCTTGCCTGCATGTCCCTCGATGTCGTGGCTAGTCCAGATTTCGGTGAAGTGACGGAATGATCCTGAGCCCCAAATGCGAGGGCCTTTAGGGTGGCTGAGGGTTTAGGGTTTAGGGTTTAGGGTTTAGGGTTTAGGGTTTAGGGTTTAGGGTTTAGGGTTTAGGGTTTAGGGTTTAGGGTGCGGAGCTGCAACTGGTATTGTAGAAAGGAGTTGGTGATGGGAGTTGAAGGGGTCAATGTACCCGGAAATTTTTGGCTCAAGAACTTGGGCAATGCGCCCTGAGGAAAAGTGTCTTTCTGGGTTTGGTGTTGGTTGGTCCAGGGGATCAAGGGCTTCTGTTGGGGTTGACTGTTTTGTTCCCTGTCCTCCTTCGGTTGCCCCCCGTAGGTTATGAGCCCAAATTAGGCTTCCTGCGGAATTGGTAAAGATTTTTCGTTTGTTTAACGCCATGGACATGATGCGGCGTCGCTCTGAGCCTGGACTGTCGCCAACGGCCAATGAAGCCGAAGGAAATCGTGGTGATGGGGGTGAAGATCGACAACAAATGGTACAAGCGCTGACAGATGGTAGGGAGGTTGCAATGATACAACCAACGCCTCAGGTGGAAAACGAAGTGGTTCCGGTTCAAGCAGCAAATCCTTTCTGGAGCGAGCGGGCTCAAGAAGAAATGAGACTTAGGCAATCAAGGCCGGCAAGTCTTCCCGCGAGCGGAGGGGATAGAAATGGTGAAGGTACGAGGAGGCCGCCTTCGCTGCAAGATCTTTTGGGTCAGGAACCTGCACCTGTTGAGAGACCATCGTCAGGCTTGATGGGCCAAATGGAACGAGGTACTATTGGTGGAGTGCAAGCCGACGAAGAGCTCATTCCTGATGTTAGTGGTGAAGAGCAAACTGAAGATATGGCGGTGGTAAAGCGTGCGCTGAAAGAGTTGCTTGTGCAAACAAAGGAGCTGGGGAACAGGTTGCATCGGGTGGAGGAGAAAAGCTATACCTCTGCTGCATCTGGGTCAGCTTCAAGGGCACGGAGCTCTGGAGTGGTGGACGCAAACACGGCATATCCTCTAGGAATGACTCCAGAGAAGCAGTACCTGCCAGGACAAGTTTTCTACACGGATGGTATGGGAGGTTTTTGGACTGTGTTGCCTGATGGGACATGGCTGCCTATTGAGGGCTACGACCTGCCAAAGGGTTGTGATCTTCAATCCTTGCCTGGGTCCAGAAAGGGGGATGTTCAAGTGGAGGATGAAAAAGAAGTGCCAATGATGCATGTAGCTGAAGGGAAGAAACCCTCCAGATTGCCTCCATTAAATTACCCCACGGGAGGTCCTGCAAGTGGTGGATATGCAAGTGGACCACCTGGTTTAACACATGTTCCGATTACTTCCGTGCCGTCAGGTGTTGATGGTTCTGCCGCACCTGTGGGGAACCAGCCCGGTTTTGTTTCAGCTCGGGAAACTGCAACGCAAGAGAACTCAGCAGGATCGGGTGGATATACAATGGTGGATGATGTTCCGTATCGGTGGAAAATGGTCGCTGGGAAGTTGGAATTAGAAAAGGTTCCGCTCACAGCTGTTACGCCCGGTATAGGACATGGACTACCTCAAGGGCCTGGTGGTAGGGTCAGTTTACCTCCTGGAGCAGTGGTGCCACGTGGTATGCCAATCACTGGTGATAGTTCTGGAACCGAACGTCCGGAGGCTCTCGGGAAGCATGTGATGAGCCTTCCAACTTTGGCAGACTACACACCAAGCAATCCGACGGCACTGGGTGATTGGATCGCAATGATCGAACCAATGTTGTCTTCACTGACAGATACAGGAAGAGTGTGGTGGCAATGCGTCTACTCAAAGGCATATCAAGCGTATGCCAAATGGTTGAGTGTTTCTCCGCTGGAAAGGTTGGGCATCAAGGCTGAGCTGGAAGGGCTCAAGGTGGTTCAAACTGTGCATGTTTTGTTGGAGCAGAGAGCGGTGTCTTTACTGCTACAGGCGATTCCGGAGAGATTGAAGACCGAGATCGTTTCCACTCGAATGTTGGGGTCAGTGATGATATTTTACAAATTGCTGACGGTCTACCAACCAGGTGGAGCAAATGAGCGCAGCACAATGTTGAACTTCTTGGTGCAACCATCTCCAGCAACCTCGATCTCAGAGGCCATAAAGGGAGTGCGTCAATGGGCGCAATGGCGTTCCCGATTGAGGGAGTTGAGAGCGGCCGAGCCGGACGCTACCTTGCTTATCAAGGGATTGGATGGTTTGTCATCCGCGTTGCTGGCGAAACACCCTACGGTTCATTTCAGAGTGGCATCCTTTCGGGAGAAATTGGGGGTGGACTACTCGCCGACCTCTGAAACTGCGACAAAACTAGCTGAAATGTTACAGGCAGAGTTTGAACTGCTATTGCATAGTGCTGGTGAACAAGAGGTGAAGCAGGACTCGGACGCCAAGAAAAGGGCCAGGTTAAACAAGGCCCAAAAGGGAACTGGTGACGAGACAGAGGAGGGTGACAAAGGCAAAGGGAAAGGAAAAAGGTACAGCGGAGATGGTGAACGTCCTTTCTGTTGGATATATGGGAAGACCGATGCAGGTTGCAAGTTCGGATCCCGCTGCAAATTTCGCCATGACAAAGACTCCCTTGAGCGAGGAAGATGTTTTGAGTGTGGGGCCGTTGGCCATCTGCAGCCGCAATGTCCATATAAGGATGGTGCAAGTTCCAATGTGGACTCAAATCCTGAGAGGAGTAGATCTAAAGGGAATTCTCCCAAAGGGGGAAAGGGCGGCAAAGGTGCGAAATGGGGAAATGCCAAAAAGGCAGAGGTAGCTGAAGGGGGAGATGAGACGGCTAATGCGGGATTGGATAAAGGTTCTGCAAGTCCCTCATCGCCATCAACGGCCAATCAGGTCCTTGTTGAAGCGTTAGAAGTGCTGAAATCTATGAAGCTGTCATCAGAACAGTCGGCATCAAGCGGGGATCCCAGTATTCGAATGTTATGTGGCTCTGGGCTGCTTCAGCAGGAAGGGAGAGTGGCGTTGGTGGATACAGCTGCTACGCATCTTGTGCGGACGCTTTTTCCATGGGAATGTTTACCAGACACTACTGTTATGGTGCAAAGCGCGCTGGGTGGTGTGACAATGAGGATTACAGAGAAAGGGACGTTGATTAGGGAAGACAATGGGCCCCTGATTATCCCTCTCTGGTTGATTTTGGAGTTTGGGGCGAACCTCACTGTGATCAATGGAACGTGTCACGTGGGTGCAAAATCTTCGCTGGACCAGCTCTTGTGGTTTGAACATGGCTGTTTGGTTATGGATTACAAAACAGCTAAAAAAATGGTTTTGCATGCTGAAAGGCAGCGTGCGTCTTGGTCCCATTCTCAATGGAGGAATGGAAGGGCGGACTGTGGAGTCGGTTCGTCTGATGCCACGTTGTTGCCGAAGCAGGGAGAAGGCCGAGGAGTATGCGTTCTACATGTGGCCAGGGTTTCTGACACCAATGAGTGTTCGGGAATGGGCATGTTGGACTCGGGAGCATCACATCCTCTCAGATCACTTCGTCCTGGTGAACAGCTTCCGCAGCAAAAGGTGTTGGTGTCTTTAGCTGTTGGATCTCGGGAGATGTGTATTACCCCAGGTGGGACCCTGGTAACTCCTGAAATGGTAGATCCACTAGTGCCAATTGGCAAAGCGAGCGCCTTGGTTGGTCTCAGAGTTCAGTGGCGTGGTGGCAAGTGCACAGCCTCACATCCTGTTCTGGGGGAACTTCGCGTTCGTGATCTGAATGGGTGCCCTTGTTTGGAAAAGGAGGTGGCGCTTCAGATCATTGATGAAATGGATTGGTGCTCACCAAAGCAAGCTTTGAAGGTGGCACGTATGGTTCAAGGGTGTCCGAATACGGACAACGAGGTGGCTGTAAAAACGTCGTTGCAAAGCGCAGCGCGGACAGCGTCAGCGAATGAGGAGGAGTTCGTCCAGGCATGCTGGAGATTTCTTCGGTGGTATTATGGGGATATACCAGAAAATATGCTGATGGAGCTGTTGCCACGTGGAGATATTGCGGCGTTGCCTTTCAACCGTCATAAAAGGAGACGGCTGGCACGAGCAAAAAGGGTGGTGGTACACCTATTTTCGGGAAAACAAAAATGGCATTTTCCCAGTCGGGATGTGGAGGTACTGGAGCTGGATTTGACAAAAGGCGGTGACCTACATAATTCGAGCGTCTGGAAGTATCTTCTGCATCTGGCGGCTGAAGGAAAGGTGGTTGCTGTGGTTGGAGGACCTCCATGCAGGACAGTGTCAAGGTTGAGAGGTGAAGACGGTGGTCCACCTGTATTACGCCGGCGCTGTGGGCCTGAACGGTTGGGATTAAAGAGTCTTCCTTGGCCACATCAAGAATTAGCTCAAAAAGATGGTGTTTTACTTCTGAAGATGCTTTTCCTATATGACGTGGCGGTGCATTCAAGGTGTGGAACTGCTGAAGTCATCAATGGGAGTTCTGTCTTTTTTGGCATGGAAAGCCCTGGGGACCCTGAACTCATAGGGAAAGATTTCTCTCAGAACGGCAAAACGGTCTTGAGTGCTGAGGATCTGGTGGATGGTTCTCAGGAAGGGCTCTCAAGTCCTACCTTCTGGAGTTGGCCAGAGGTTAAAAGCTTTTGTGAGCGTTATGGAATGTACGCTGCACATTTTGATCAAGGAGCGCTGGGACATGCTCTGGTGAAACCTACGACTTTCCTGGTGTCTGATATGGAACTATGGGAATCGTTGGAACAGGTTCGCGTGGTTGTTCCGTGGTCAGCAACATTCGCTTCTACCCTGGAAGAGCGTATTGGACAATCCTCTACATGGGTGCGATGGGCGTTTGGATTGGTTAAAAGAATACGTCACAGGTTGGCACAATGGTTGCATGAGAGCGATGCTGAACGGGAAGCTATGGTGTTAAAAAAGGAAGAACGAGAAGGGACGTTACGGAGGTTGACGACTGAGGAGCGAGCTTTCCGTGACCATTGCCTAAGGGGGCATATTCCTTTCAGACGTGATTGTCAAATCTGTGTGTCTGCCGCTGGA